GGGGGGGGGGGGGGAAGAGATGTTTTATTTTATTAAATGCCTTGGGTTTGATGTATTTGTTCAATTTCATTTTGGTTACTACACCCTGCTTTAAGAAACTCTTCTCCCAGAATCTCAAGCAATGTTTATCTGCAAAACAAGAATCCTTATGCTCTCTCTCTGTAGGGAAAATGGAAAGAAAGAAAAGCTGCTTTTTTTAATCCCTTTACAGGATGGGGGGGTAAATGCCTAAATCCACTCAAAGTCATCTAGGCTTCCTTCCATTATGTCCCCGCAAATACAGTTGCACTGGGGTTGAGACCCCCCATCCTGTTGAGATCCTACAGATATGATGTCCATATGAGGGCCCTTTTGGCTTCAGCCTGAGCCCACTGGCCTCATCATTGACAAAATCCCTACTGGCCCAGCAGGGTCAGCATTGGGCCAGTGCTGGATGCTTCCGCACCTTTGTCCTTGCGCCTCTCCAGAGGTTTAAGGGTCTAAACTGCCCAGGAAAGGTCCCCTCTTTGGTCTCACCTTCCCCAGCCCCTGAAGCTCCTTCTACTCCTAGGCTGGTGCATCCACCCTGAGGTGGGCACAGCCAGGAAGAAGAGCTGCTGAGCAAAAGGGTCATGCCTGTGCCGGGCACCCAAGGCCTCCTCATGTTTGAAATTGGCCATGTCTCCTGGTCTGAGCCCCTTCTGCTGAGTCACTGCTGTGACACCAGCTCCAAACAGGAGCAGGAGTGTCAGCTGTAGTCCCATGCTGGCCTGGCATCATTTTCCACCGTTTGGGCATGTCTGAAGAGGTCCCAACCTAGCAGGTGTCCCAGAGGACACAACCTGAAGGGGCCCTGCGGCTGCAGGTGAAGCCGACTCCAGCTGCTCTTTCTCTGCCAGCACAGTGAGAAAGCAACCCAACGGGTCTTCAGTCCTGCTGGGATGGGGAATGACAGTGGAGACCAGGGGGAGAGGCAGGAGCTTCTTTGCAGGCCCCTGTCGCCCTCAGCATTAATGAGCTAACGGGAAATAGGCGCTGTGCATGTGGGACATGGGTGAGTGTGTACACCTTGGGTCCTGCCTCTTGAAGGACGTGCTCTGGACACAAACTGGGCTTCCTCCCTAGGGGACATAGGTCCACATGTATCACTTGGAGGTAACAATATGGTTAGGTCCCAGAAGCTCTATTTTAGTGCTTGGAAATACAGAGGTGCCTTGAGCATCCAGGCAGGGAAAACAGCATCTAAGAAGCAGATGGATTACTGTGTTATAGTTCAGGGGGTAGTGTAGTCAGGAATGAGAGAACATGTGCTGGACTCTCACCATGTGTAATGACCACTTTGTGCTGCTTGGAAAACCTGAGGTTTCCCAAGCTCAGCTATGAGCCATCTGACAGGGAGCTGGTTGGCAGCTCACAGACCCATCCTGTCCTTTCAACCCCACTCCAACCCCTTTTCTTGTCTCATGCTCACCAATGCACTGATGTTCTCCACCCATGAAGGCTGTGTGTGGTCAGTGCTCAGGCAGGGCAATATCTGTAGAGGAGATGGAAAGCAGGAGAAAGGACTGCAAGGGTCTGGCAGGTAAAGAAGAGGACCTAATGAAAGGAAGAGGAGGAAGAAGGGACTGTAAGCCGAGCGATCCTCATTTAAAATGGACTATCTGAATGAAAATTTATTCAACCAAAATCATCTGTACTTCCTGAAACAGAGAGAATTTTGTTTTCCTTTTTTCTTTCCCCCAGTTATCAATCTCATTAATAAGAATTGGATTGAGTCTATGTGTGGAATATTGATGTATTTTCTCAACTCCCATAGCATTGCCCAAAAGTACAGTAGCACACCCTCAGAAAACAGAGGTAACGATTTATCCTCTAAATAAGGGCAGCACTAGCATCCTGTTGGTGAATTCCCCTCACTCTGCTGGATAAATATGGCCTATGGAAGGTCCAACCTGGGCTGCCACACCCTCGTTTGCAAAAATTTCCTTTTTTTAATTCTTACAAAAAATTCTTTCTTTTAATTCTTACAAAATTGACAGGAGAGTTCTGTAGGGCTCAGAGTGGAGGTCTGTCCCTCCCAGTACCCCATTGTTTACTGGAGCCTTGGTTACTTGACGACAGAGCAGAGAAAGCAGAGAAGAATAAGAACTCCTGACACATCCTCTCAGCCTCCAGCTGTCACTGGCAGGAACGAACACCCTTCACAGGATAGCTGCCAAACACTGGTGCCGTTCGGTAAATCCAGAGCAGGTCCAGAATGACCTAGTCACAAAGTCCGATGAACAGGACAAACAGCCCCATTCTCCTTGCTCAAAGCCCATCTGAGCAGGTTTCAGGATCTTTATGCCTGAGAACCAATGATTTGACCTCTTTTTATTTGAGGATCTCAAGTACATGCTTCCTATTCTTTATCTTCTCAGCTAGCTCTGACAAAAGTCAGTACATGGTGAATAGTCAGTCCTCATCCACTCTCTCTAGGCCAATCTTGGGCTTGTAAACCTCTGTCACAAATTCTCAGTTATTTCTTTACCCAACTTTTTCATTTATTGCACAGAACTGGCTCCAGACCAGCCCCTCCTCAGAGCATGGCCAAGCATCCTTGAATCCAGGCTATCAGAAACACTTCACACTCAAGGCATCCTAAAAGCGTTGGGGGCACTTTGATCCCAGGTGTTAAAGCAGGCAATGGAAGACAGTGTGCAGGTGTCAGCTATCCCTCCTCATACTTCTGTTTCAAAATCTCCAGCTCCCTTCTGTCTGCTGGCAAGAGATATCATCCCTAGTCACAACTCCCTCAGAGGATTATTTTTTTTACTCTGCTTTCAGAGCAAATGTGGCACACTTAGGTTCCTGTCCATGCCTGGAGCCTGAAAGTGCTGCAGCAGTGAAAATTAATAGAACAAGAGCAGCAGGTACTACAGGGTGTAATAAATGGGGCAGAGTGTCTTCCTCTGCCATCAGCAGGGAGCGGGAGCACACATGTGCTGGAGCCCCAAGCTGACATCCTCTGCGGAGAATCTCTGCTGGCAATGTCAGAGTGGGAAATCCCTTTTGCTGAGAAATAATCCTACATGTCTGGTAAAAAACTTCCTTCCTCTTCCTCCTCTATGACACAAAATAGGGTTGGAAGAACCCTCACTGACCACAGAAGTATTTCCAGTATGTATTTCACAAATTCAGAAATCCCCATTAAATAAGGATCTGATATTTCTCGTTGTCCTTCTTTAGGGCAACTTTGGGAGAAAACCTCCAAATAGGGACCCTCCAGAAAACAAATTCAAGTGGTCCCTCCCTCACCTGGTTCAGGAAAAAATATTTCCTTGGAGAAAAGTGGAAAAGAACCTGTTTATTTAACAGACATTGAATAACATTAAACAATAAAACCTCTGCTGTTTGAAGAGATGGCAAATCCAGAAAAGTCCTTTCCATGGGTGTAGCTCAGCTCACTCAGTCTCTTATCAGTCCCTCTGGTGCTGGAAAGTGCCGAGGCCCAGGCCCTGGTGGGCCACAGGCTGGGTTTTCAGTCCAGAGCAGGTTTGAACAGATCCAAGAAAAAGGGAAAAAAAACCAGTCTGGGGAACTTTTCTGCCTCAGTGAGCTAAAAACTAACTAAAAGCAAAGGAGAGCTCTGTCCCTCTGTCTGTCCATGCTGCAGACAGCACAGTCCAGGAGCAGGATGGGGGACAGTGAGGGCTCTTTCTGAACACGAACCAGTTTTAAGACTGGTGCAGAACTTAATATGTAACATAGCAAAGTGATTGGGGACACAAACATCATAAAGTCACCCCAGGACACTCATCAAAGCCACTAGCAAAAAACTTCCATGAATCAGGTGAGAGGACACTGAAAGTGAGACAAAACCAGGATTTTTTTGTCTGATTCATATTCTGACCTGGTTGTTTCTTGATGAAACACCACCATATGCTTTAGTTTTTCTATGCCTCTGACACAGTAAAATCAGAGCTATGCTAAGCAGGCCAGGTCAATTTTGCAACATTATTTTTAACTTTGGATTTGGGATTGAAACACAACAGATGTTCTTTTGGTTAGTAGTTTTATTAAAGAGAAGGAACTGAATAGAATGTGCCCAGAAGTCACAGAGGGTCATAGTTACCCATCTCCTGGTAGTTCAGAGTCCAGAGGCCCACAGGACACCTGTTTCTTCAAGCCTACCGTATTTCCTCACCTTTCAAAAGGTTTTTCACTACAGCAGGTGGCCAGAACAAGTCCAGGATTGCATAACATCTAGGGACACAATATCCCCAGGTTGAAAGAGCTGGTTGTTCTGCACTGACATGGGCTCTAACCAGCCCTGCAACCATGAGTGAAGTCTGGAGGCTGAATCTCTTAAACCACCTTTCCACGTCAGTAAAATCCCAAGCACACTTGTATAAGAGTGAGCATGGCTCTACTTGCCTTCTTTTAACCCAGAATACACTGTAAAAATACAAGAGCAAGGAGAAAGCTTTCTCACTCCTTCCATCATTTTAGGACAGATGATGGACACATGGACAGACATGTTTAGGACAGATGGGTTTGGTAGCTCCAATGCCAGGTACCTCCTGGTTTGCCAAGGTCCAAGAGGTACCAGAGACAGGAGGCAGATCATGGATTATCTAAGCAAGAAATGGAAAATTCTGTAGGATTTGCCTGATCAATATAGACACAAAACAAACAGAATAAACTCCCAGTTCACAAACACATCTCAACCCCATCTGCAAAGCAGAAATTCTGGGAGAAAGCACTCCTGGGTCTCTTGCCCATCCATCACTAAGTTTTAAATTTTTCCTGTGTGATACATGATACAGTACCAACCATTAGACTTTTTTTTCCATTAAGCAGACACACGCTAAGTAGAAATTCCATCACTGCCGTTTATACTTGGTATTAAGTGGTTGCCCTTGGGTATTCCTATTACAAATTGTCTAATGATGTCCCTTCCTTTTTATTTCAGCAGAAAGTTGGATTTTCAGTTAAGTACATTTTAA